CGAGGATATACTAAGGAAGTGCCGAGGATATACTAAGGAAGTGCCGAGGATATACTAAGGAAGTGCTGAGGACATACCTAAGGAAGTGCCGAGGATATACTAAGGAAGTGCCGAGGATATACTAAGGAAGTGCCGAGGATATACTAAGGAAGTGCCGAGGATATACTAAGGAAGTGCCGAGGATAGACCTAAGGAAGTGCCGAGGATATACTAAGGAAGTGCTGAGGATATTCTAAGAGAGTCTAGAGAAATGACCTCTAACCTGTCACAGCCCAGAATTTTCTGAGACACCATGTTTTCTTAGATACCCAGTCCTTGGATCTCTGCTCTTAATGTGTATCACTGTGAACCCAGCCTGCAGCACTAACTGAAGGAGCCCTGATCAGGCCCGCCAGCATGTCCACACAACCCGAAAGGTGTGAGGCCCACCTACCTCCCACAGACAGCGGGTAGCAGCCAGACTTCAGCTGTCTTACAAGCGTTAGGATTACAAAGCAAGAAAAGTGATGTGGTTTTTACAACACTTGCCATTCTTTTTTTTAAAGCAGTAGCGGATTTTCTCCAAGAATATTTTAAAGCTTGCGATTATAAAAACTTTTTTTTTTCTTTTGACGAGTTCCCAAAAACCTTACCAATGCTCAGTTTAGGATCAATGTAGGACACAGAGTTTTGTTTCCTCTTACTTTATTATATTTGCTATTATACTGTCATTTAGACAATAGTTGTTTGTTTGTCTAAAGCCCTGTTTCACCTTGAAGAAAAAGCAATTTGTCTCACAGCGGTCACTGAGGGTCTCAGAGCCGGTAAAGACAAATACAGCATAGAGAAGTAGGAAGCAGGTGAAGTACTCAACGGCTTTTTTTTTTTTTTTTTTTTTTTTTTTTGCGGTCCCAGATATGGAGCAAGCCTCCCTGACACTAGGCAAGCACTCTGGGCCTTACTCCCTCTGGAAATGCCTGAGAATTCACTGCACTCTCAATCTTATTATACAAAATCTCATGGGTCAGAAAACATCAGGTGACGGCTAGGAGACTTGAAAACAACACAAACTGTGGAGAGGCGAGGAAACAGCTTCACAAATACACACAGGATGGCTTCGAGCTGGGGAAGCCCCCAGAGGCCTTGCCCAGGACAAAGGAAACGTTTGTTTCCCAACAACAGGCACTAGAGAGTAAAATCTGGTAGGGCTGGCCGCCTGTTAAAACCCGACCGCATCATACCTGTGAGGTAGGTGTTGTGTGAGGAATTGATGAAGTAGTGAGACAGGGGCTGAGACATGTCTTCGTTCAAATCCAGTTTCTCAGGTGAAACGACTCCATTTTCTTCTCCGCTCAAGTAGCGCATGAATCCATCCACTGACATCTGCCCTGGAGAAAATGGATCGAGAGGCAAGTGAGTGACTCAGCATCCTGATACTGGCGGGACCAACCCGCTCTGATCCTCTGGCCTATGCCAACCAAGCCCTGCGGCATCCAAGGAGAAGACCATGGACACAGTTTTGTCGTAATCCAGACACACACTAGTCTAGGATCACGCTGTATGTTACCATTATCTCCATATACATAAAGGAAAGAGGCGGTTATTCTGATGCCGCCTAAGCTTTTCCGACGATTTAAACACAAATTCTCTCTTTTTAATATAACAGTGAATATCCAATTCATGAATTAAAAAAAAAAAAGGTTGCCAGGCAGTGGTGGTACAAGACTTTAATCCCAGCACTCAGGAGGCAGAGGCAGGCGAATCTCTGAGTTTAAGGCAAGGTTTAAGTTCAAAGTCTATAGAGTGAGTTCTAGGACAGGCAGGGCTATACACAGAGACTCTGTCTCAAAATAAAACAAAAAACAAACAAAAAAGAAAGGATAATTCTGGGTAAATCACCTTGAGATGGTTTTCCAAATTTTCCATTAAGAATATATGTTGCTTTTATTTTTATAATAAGAATTATGGACAGATATTTCTACTTTAAGGGTTCAAGTCATTTTATCTCTCACAGGATATAACAGATAACAACAAATGACCTTTGCTTTGTGTAGCAAACTGAGATCACACAGAGAGGAGGGGCTCTGAATTTTCTTTCCAAGTTTACTTCAGATAGAAAAATAAACACGACTTTCACTTTGTGATTTCACTCAGAAATTTTTCTCTTCTTATAACTCTCTGAGGTAGCTCTAGCTAAGTATTGAGACGGTCCTTTTCTTTCGGCATGACTGTGGTGACCCTGGCAGGCAGAAATTACACATACTTGGTGAGTGCTGTTTGAAGCTGCCTTACAGGGACTGAGATAATCCTTCATTTCCAGCTCAGCAGCCTGATAGGCCCACAGAGAGCCCTCACCACAGTACGTTTGTCCACTTTGATAGTCGAAGCTTCAAGATAACAGCAAATAAATGGGAGATGAAGGTGGGGTCAGTAGAGGTTGGAGGTAGCGTATCTTAGCTCCTTGTTGGAAGGGTATTGTGTTAATTTCAAAGTGCTAATCTTCACTGAAGAAATTTAGGCTCTGAGGTAAGCAGAGAGGAAAAAAAAAAACTTGTCCAAAACGCATGCAAGGCATGCAAGTATTCCTTCAGAAGAACATACATTGAGAGCTCTGCTGAATGCCATCAAAAGTTGTGTGTGTGTGTGTATTTTACCAGTGTGCAAATGTATATACACATACATAATACAGGACAGCAATTCCCTCTGAATTAAATGAACGATACATATACATATTTTCATCACAACGTAAATTCTCTAAGATCAGTGCTTAGCTTGAACTCATGAAATATCTGCTACTTGTATTTTATAAATTATAAAACATAAACATGTAAGATTAAGCAAATCTATTATTGTTGGTTATTAAGATTGTTTTAAATATTTTTAAGTATAAACGACACTGCAATAAACACTACAGCAGTCACATTTTTATACACATATTGAATTCCTTGTGCAGACTGCCCTGGCATGAACAGAGCTATCAGATCAGGCTACACACGTCACCAAGGCTTTTAATGCAGACCACTAGGTGTACCATGTGGAAATGGCCGAATTAACCATGACATATTACCACATTAAATTCGTTTCACATCTAGTGTATTCTTCAAGATAACTGATACCAAAATCCTGGGACTAGCACAGCTAAATCATTATTGACTTCATTCAGGAATGAATGAATGAATGAATGACTAAAGAGATAGAAGCTTGACTATTGGCTTTCTAAAAGAGAGTGGCCATTGTATGAAAGAAACGCTTTCTTTATATTTTTATTTATCACCATCATTCTCATTGCTGTCTGTGTGCACCCATGGAGCGAGTGAATGGGGGCACATGCCTTGGAACGTGCGGGTGTGAGGGGACAATTCTGTGGGATTTCTTTTCTTTTTTGCTATCTTTACATGAGTTCCAGGGTTTGGACACAGGCCACCAGGCTTCCTTCGCAAGCACCAGCTAAACCGTTTTGCCAGAGCAGAAAGAAACATCTTCCTAAGCAAACATTCAAATAGAAACAAATATTTGAAGCATAAACTGCTAGAAGTGCACTCCAATACGGGATTGATAGTTTTCATAATGATAAAAGGAAGAAGTTCCAAGAACGTCTCTTAATTAAAGATGAAAAATATTGATATAAAGGCCTTAGTTGGCATGCCTGAGACCTACAGCAGCGATCCACCTGCAGGCTATACTTGTGTGTGATCAGTCTCAACAGAGACCATCAGCTATACATTCAAATAGCTATCACTTAATATAGAACCATCCTGGTCACATGGTCGTCAGAAAGACCATCTGCCATTGGAGCCTTCTGTGAAACATGCCTTGGTAGATAGAATGCATGCATCCCTCTGGACGGATCATGAATCTCATTAATCAACCAGTCAGCTTAGTGCCAAAGCTACTTCTTTTTTTTTTTTTCAATATGGTTGAAAAAATATTTTGGAGTATAAAACTCTTGAGGCAAAATTTCGTAAGAGATTCAAATTTTTTTCCAATCTTCTAGTTTTCTGTGATTTTTTTCAACTTGTTAAATATTTCTCCACCTAGACTCCATCCTTCCTTCTTCTTTTTCTTTCTTTTTTCTCTCTTCACTTTCTACCCATTCAACAATTTATCTAACACCAGCCATGTACTAAATACAGAGACAAACAGCACAGGGGATGCAGGCACAGACCCTGCCTTCAAGGAGTTCACAGTCCAGCAGAAAGCATGATGCCTCACCCACTGAGAAGCAGGCACTATCATAGCAATGTGCCCACTCTTAGTTCTACCATGCTGGGGGTCTCCATGATGCTTCTGCACCAAGTCAAATTCATTTTTTCACAGGATCAGACTTGTTCAAATTAGCAAATAAATTGTGCTGAAAGTGGAAGATCATCCATGACAGTAGCACTGAGCATTTTCCTCCCACAGAAATGGCAGCTTCATACAACTCTGCCTCCCACTGGGGCCATCCTTAGGGACCAGGAACTTAACTCCGTGCCAGGAAAGGATGGCAACAGAACTTCCGGATGGGAGTGAGTTTCAGGCAGTAGGCATTCACTGTGGTTTCCAGGGTAGTGGAAGCTTGGTGGAAATTCCTTTAAATGGACTACAGAGTGTATTGATATAGGGCGACGTGACCTAGCATCCCATTCTTATGGGGCAGGGCTTGACTCTGAGGCTGTCAGTTTATATATTCTGGCAATAAGTAGAATTCAAGCTTCTGGCTTGAATAGAAGCCTTACAAAAGGAATGAATGAATGAATGAATGCTATGTCAATAGACAGGAGATGGCCAATGAGTTTTCTTTTCTAAAAGGCTTATTTCATTTTTAATTGTGTGTGTATGTGCACATAAGGCAGTGCACACAGAAGACAGAGCTGGACCTACAGGTGACTGGGAGTCACTCAAGGTGGGGCTCAGAACCAAACTCCAGTCCTCCACAAGTGCAGTTTGTGCTCCTCACTTTTGCTCCATCTCTCAAGCCCAGGCATAAATAAAGTCATCATCAGTACCTATACGTTGTTAATACCTGATGGGAACCTGTCTTGAGACTTTGGACTTTGCGATTAATTTTGTTGTCTGCCATTGAATACAAATTGGAGGTTATATAACCTACAAATGCCATCTTCCAATGAAGACATTATAATTCAGGTCAACAGGAAATTTATAAAAGAGAGGGCCAAAACTTTATTCATTAATAAGAAAGCCAGGAAGATGCAGTTTAAAGAGGTTATGAACCACTAACTCTATCTATCTATCTATCTATCTATCTATCTATCTATCTATCTATCTATCTATCTATCTATCTGTCTATCATTTATCTTCATCTTCATCATCATCAACATCATCTATCCATCCATTCATAATCTTTCTTTTTAAATTTTAATTAAAAACAAAATTTACGATAGACAACAGACAAATATGTTTCTCTCTCTCTCTATGATTTTTTTTGAGACAGGTTTTCTCTGTATAGATTTGGTATCTGTCCTGGAACTAGCTCTTGTAGACCAGGCTGGCCTTGAACTCACAGAGATCTACCTGCCTTTGCCTCCAGAGTACTAGGATTAAAGGTGTGTGCTGCCACCCACCACCACCTGACAAATATGCTTCTTTACTTTTTTTTATATAAGTTTTCATGCTGAGAACTAAATAAAGCATCTCACACATGCTAAGTGAGCATTCTACTTTTGGGCTACATGCCTAGTGTCTTTGTCAACAAAAACAAACCAAAGACCAAAATTAAACAGAGACATGGACAAAACTGCTAAACTAAACACAAACCTAGTTAAGGATCTGCATATCAACCTTGTTGATCATCTCTTCTCCCTTTCATGTTTCACAGAAATCAAATATTTTAATTTGGTTTTTCCTCTTTTGGTGTTGAACATTGAATCAAGACCCTGACCCGTTTTAAAGAGGCACTGATCCACCGAGCTTGGACTCTAGACCCTTAATACATAATAATTAAAACAGACCACATTCTGTAAACAATTTAGGAGTTTAGATAAGTCAGTGCTTTTGAAGATTATTTATATAAACAAAAAAAACCCCAGGGAAGAAAGTTATGTAACTTTATTTTAAAATTTTACTCATGATTATTAGTGAATATACACATGTATGAATGCAGGCATGGGCACAAGTGGGCCACAGGATTTGGTTCTTCTTCCATCGAGGGTTCTAGGAATCAAACTGAAGAAGGCGGGCTTGCAGTAGGGGAGTGATTTTTTTTTCTGCTGAGCCATCTTGCTGGATGACACAAATCTAAATTTGAGTAGCAACAATGTGGAGGTTTGCAGAGTGATCAGACAAAACATGCCGCAGATGGGGGTGATCAGACACTTCTCCCTCCAGAGCTCTACCTGCTAACTCCAGGAGCAAGTGTTTCAGACTTTTGATGCCCCAAGTGAATGGG